CTTCTCATATACCTTATCTATTTGTATCTTGTACTCATCATTAAGTCTATTAATTTTGTTATTTGCTTGTTAACGCTCTTCTTTATCTATATTCTGTTTTACTTTTTTAAAACACATATAACAAATTCTGTCTAAGCATTTCAAGTCTTTGTATATCTTGTCACTACTTTTTGTTTTCTTTAGTAGTGTTCCATTAGTTGATACTTTTTGACTTAGCAGATTTGCAAATATATTTTCTAAGATACTACTTGAGATTATATCCTATAATTCATTAATACTTTTGCTTATAAAGTTTTCTTCTGCTAGAGCTATATTAGTCTCTGTTTTTAGCTTTTTTTTTAGTTTCTCATCTAACTTTGCTCTATATCTTTCCTAATCCTCTTTTTGTACTTTGTTTAGTTTGAGAATTCTTTTTTTCTCTTTTAGCTACTTTTCTTTGGTTCAAGATCTTGTTTTTTATAATATACCTGTATCTATCTTTACTAATACAATTCTATAGTCACTTCCTGTAATATATTTTTCTTCTAATATTTTATATCTTATCACATGCTAGCAAAGCTTCTTTGAGACCTATATATAATCTATTCTTGTACTAACTAATTTGTTTAACTATGTGAATTTTTTTTTATATAGATGTGCTACTCTAAATATATTTTTAAAGCTTGAGCTCTCTAGCTATCTAAGAAAATTTGTCATTTATTACTACTAGATAATTGACTTCTTACTCTAATATGATTTAACTTTGTAGATTTCTTCTATTATTGTTACTCTTTCTATTACTTTTCTCTATTCTCTAGCTACTGTTACTATACTACTATCTACTTCTAGAATTTTTGCTATTATTTTGTCTATATAATCTTCTAGATCTATTACTAATCTGCTACTTTCTACTATTATTTCTTTGCTATATTCTTTAGTTACTACTTTTACTAGTCTAATTGCCTTCTTTCTGTTCTACATAACTGCTTATTTGTTTTATATTTGTTAGCTCTATTTATACTATCTATCTTATTTTTTACTTTTACTTTTCTATTTAATACTCTAAATATTATTTCTAAAAATAACTTTATCTTTTTTTTAGAATTTCTTTAGTAATTGTCTAGTTTGCCTATAAGTTGTCTGATTTTAGTCTTATATAATTCATCTTTAGTATTTGATATATGATACATAGTTTTAATAATATATTTGTTTATTTACCTAATTTGTATATATTTGTATTACATGAAGTAATCTGTATTTTAGAGTATTTTGATTCTTAGTTTTTCTCAAAAAATTTTCTTTGTAACAAGTTTTTGTTCAAAGTTCTTTTAAAGTTTTTGTTTAAAATAGAGTTTTTTTTTATTTTTCTACTTTACTATATATATTTTTCTTTTTGTTTTTCTTTTTGTTAATAACTTTAGTAACTATTTTTAATGTAATTTTTCAGTTTTTTAACTTTTTTTTTCTGCTTTAAAAATAGTCAAAATGATTAACAGAAAGAGTTGATATATAAACCTAATATTATAATATAGTTTTAAGAGAGTTATATATAATATTATTATAAATTTTAATAGAAATAAACTAGATTAACTACTTTTTGTTCTTGCAAAAAAATTATTTTATAGTTAGTTTGTTATAATAATATTTTTTAATCTAGTTATTAAGTATTAGCTTATTTTTATTTATTTATTCTGAGTTAGATATTTTGAAGTACTAAATTCATATATCTTTTGTTCTATTTGAAGTTAGTATAAAAGTAGATAAAACTAAGTTTATAAAAAACTAGAGTATATTATTTGTTATATATTTGTTTATGTTTAAAAGTTGTTAAAAGTATTGTTAGATAATAAGAATAAGTAGTATTGTAGTTTTTATTTGAAGCCTATTATTTAGTTATTTAAGGTAGCTTTTGTTAAGTTTTTATTTATTTTTTTTCTGTTCTATCTATTGGGTTAAAGATTTATAAAAAAAAATTTTTAAATTAATTAATATTAAAATTAGAATTAATATTATATTAGAATTAAAATATATAAAATTAAATATTAAAAACTTTATTTAATAATAATTTTGAATTTTTTTAAAAAATTTTATTTTTCATTATACAAAAATTCTACAATATGATTAATTAATCATATAAACCAAGTATATAAATAAAAATTCTCTTTTATTAAATTTTATTTTAAAAAAATTACAAAACAAATTTGCAGAAAAAAAAAAAACAGTTTAAAAAATGATAAAAAAATCTAATATATTTATTTGTCTAACAATAGTTATCATATCTTAATATCATATAATTATTCTATCACATAAACAACTAGTAAAACTTTAGAAAATTTGAATTTACACATTACTTGCTTCTGGTAAATTTAATCTGATATAATTAATTGTTAGATAATTATTTGGATTTTGAATTATCTGGATTTTAGGGCTTGAGTATTTCAGGTCTATACTTTGTAAGATTTCGGATCACATTAGCAATATTATAAAGATGTCCGAAAATATCGGTTTCTACTTTATTAATTTGAAATATCTATATGAAATGTGTATGTAGTTACACTTGTGTCGTTAATAATAATCAAAGTCTATTATCGCCCTTTGTAGATTGGAGGCCTTTTATCTTTAAAAGCCTTTAAACCTAAATGAAAAAAGAAGTAAATAACAAATTGTAATATTTAATAATTTACAGTACTTTTACCTTCTATCCTATCTTCTGTTGGAATAACTTGTTCATAACAAGCATTTTCAAATTCTAGAGCTGAATCTCTATCAAAAAATATAACCAATACAATAATTATTCTTATTTTAATCTTTAATCAAAAAAAACACAAAATGAAATACTATTACATACAAATCTAACTGACTACCACGATCAATAGCCAATTTTGCCATTCGAAGGGCAATAGGACCTTATTTTAAGAAATATATAATAGTTAAAATTTGATTAAAATAAAATATCATAGTATAACCGAGATAAAACTACCACTTGGCAAAATCTCTCTGGCTAATTTAATCGCAATCGGATATGATGATCCTTCTCTTGCATAATAATTTACAATTCCTTAAATGTAAAATCATCTTATTTGTTTGGATAATAACAAAGATGTGTGTAAATGAGTGCAACAAAGAATTCTTGATTTTTTGATATTTCGCTTCACAAGATGCAAGCTTATCAGACTGAAAAAACTGATCTATAACTCATGATATATTTTTCGGAGCTGATAAGTCATATTCCGTGAAGTGTTAGATCCTAAATTCGAGAATTCTCCATTTTCTGATGGGACACACAAAGAACATACCAATATCTAAAGCTTCTTGTGGACTTAAAATACGACCAGTATAAATCAATTCCTTTGCCTTTGCAATTCCAATCGTTCGTGCTAATCGTTGTGTCCCTCCGGCCCTGAGAATTTAAAATATGAATATGACATTTATGAAAGATTTTAATAATTAAAATAGAATAATTACCCAGGAATAATGGCTAGCTTAGTTTCCGGAAGTCCAATTTTAGCATTTTCCCCTAAAATGCGATTGAAAATAATTAGCAAAGAAATTGTAAATATGATATGTAAAATATAAATACCAGCAACTCTTATATCGCAGCAAAGAGC